GAGACCTGACATTGTCCCCATACCATCTTTACATCACCTCTTGTGGCTCCAGGAAAAAATTGGGCAGGAGGTCTGGAACATGGCCAGAACTGGAGCTTCTGCCATGAAAAGACGCCTGGGTCCCCAGCAGAGACCCACCACCCCAAGTCCAGCGGGTAACTTTGGCCAGTTCCTCATCTGACCTAGGCCTTGGTTTACCCACCTGTATTGTGTTTAGGAGCTGGGGGTAAGGAGAGAGTTGCTGGTCTTTCTGCACCCTTCCTGTTCTAAAAGACTCTCAAGGGTTTTGCCATCTTAAGGAAAGATCAAGGCATACTGACCCATGTCTTCCAAATTATTCTCCTAGGGCCCAAGGAACAAGCAGCCCCATAAGGCATCACTGGCTTCCCCTGCCCTCACTGGGGCTCTAGGCAGTTTTTTGCTACGGCAGCCTGGTGGGCCCTGGGTCTCTGCCGGGCCACCCACATGGCAGCCACACAACATGCCACACTGACCTCCAGCTCACCTCCGAGAGTGCCCAGCCCCCTTTGTCAGCAGGACTCCCTGGCAGAACACACCAAGCTCACACTGGACCTCCGACATCGGGCACTCCCTCCTGACTCCCAGGCCCCCTCCCCAGCCTCAGCGCCCACTCCTTCTGTCCCTGGCTTTCTGCCACTCAGGCTGGAGGGGGTGGGGGGGGGGTGACAGCTGTGTAAGCGATGGCGACTGCCCCCTTCCTGCCCCTCCCCCTCAGCTGTCTCTCTCTCATGACAGCTGCCCAAAGGGCCGGGGGCTTAGCCAGCTCCCCCCACATGCAGGGATCAAGTGTCCACCCTGCCTTTGTTCTGGAGCAAGAACAATCCAGGGGAAGGGAGGGCCCCTGGGGCCAGGCGATTCAAGTAGACTGGCCCGCCCCTTGGGGGATTCCCTCCGCTCTGCTGGCCAGAATGTCTGGACCAGCTGGGGCCTGTGGACCCACCTGGGCTTCACTCTCCATCTCATATGCCCCCCATCACCTCAGCACCCCCAGCTCCCTGCCTAGCAGCCTCCTTCTCCTATTCCCAGCCACACTAGCCACACCCAGTGATGCTGGGGAATGGCACAGAGCATCCTGGGAGGCAGGGTGTGGTGGGGGAGGACCCTCGGCCTGAGCAGGTCTGCATCAAGGGCTCCTAACTCTCCTGCCCATCCCCTCCTCTGGGGATGCTCACTCTCCTGACTAGCCAGGCCTTCACAAGAACTGCTCCAGCATCCTCGGACACATGTGCCCAGCCTCTCGGCCTCCCAGCTTCTCAGGATGGCCAACCATCTCCAGCTGGGAGAGGAGAAGAGGAGTAAGGAGCCTCGCGTGAGCATCCTGGGGTCCACAAGCTCCAGCCTCTGGCTTTTTCATTCAGATCTGCCACACAGACAGAGTGCCAGGAAGGGAAAGGCAGCTCTGACAAGTTGGCAGGTGCCAGAAATGCTACAGCTTCCTTTACAGCATCATTAGGCAGCCCCCCAGGAGACTTCAGAACCAAGGTAAACCAAGTCAAGCCTGGCTCTGGCTGGGCTCCAGGAGAAAGGCCACAGTATCATGCTACTCATCCCCTCACTGTCTCATCCACATTGAGAAACGTCTCTAGCTCCCATTCTCCGTTCTGAAAACTGTATGCTTACTCTCCTGCTCAACAGCTACCCATGGCTCCCCAGTGCCCAAAGAATAAAGCCTGAGCTCCACGGACAGGCCATCAAGGACCGAGTGATCCAGCCCCTGCCTCTCTTGTCTCATCTCCACCCCATCCTCCACACATCCCAGGCTGCAGAACACACTTAGCACCTCCAGCCCTTGAGGCCTTTGTCCAGGCTGACCTCAGCTCAAAATGCCTATCCTCGCTCTCTGTCAAAATCCTTCTCAAATGCCACCTCCTCTGTGTAGCCCTCCCCAGGCTTCCAAGTCAATGTGATCACTCAGGCCACTGTGCCCCTCAAAGATGTTGCTGCAACTCAAAGAAGTCCCCGTTGGGCATTTCTGAGCCTGTCTTTACATGATACACAGAGCTCCAGAAAGAGGAAATTTGAGACAGGATCAGGCTCGGTGTGCAGGGAGAAGAGTTGAGGCTCACGGGGCCTGGGGACATTTGCAACTAAAGATGGGGCTGAGGTTCCCAGAGGAGTAATGAGAGTAGAGTTAGAAGACCCAGACATGAGGGACCAGCCACATGGGCAGAGGTAGGACCAGCCACATGGGCAGAGGTAGAACCTGCCTGGACAGGATTCCTGGTTCCTTTCTCAGCATCCCCAGCCCTACTCCTGCTGTTTTACCAGGACTAGGGGTTCCTGAGGTATGCTGCTGGGGTCGGGGATTTGGGCTATGCTTTAGGTTTTCAGAGGGTGGGAGCAGAGTGGGTCTCCTTATGGAAAAGGGGGACTGGAAGAAGAGCTGGGGATTGGGGTACATTTCACAGAGTGGAGTTGGACTCAGCCTGTCACAGCTGGAAAGGCCTCACCGATCACAAGAGGAGCCCGAGGCCCAGAGAGGAACGGAAACGTTTGTAAGGCTACATGGAAGGCAACTGGCAGAGCTGGGAATCCTAGGGAGTCTACCTGTGCAGCTTAGAGCTCTCCTCAAGAGGTCAGCGTCACTGGGCCATGGTGATGGAGGCTGCAGGGGCAGCAGTGATGGGAGTAGGGAGGGTGGACAGCCTGTCTGGGGACACAGGGTGGGGCAAACCAGCCTCCTCGTGGCCTGGGCCTGCCAGGGTGTGTGGGCTGCCTGCTCCCAGCCCCCCACCCTGAGCATGCAAGAAGAACAATCCCCTTGTGTTTGGGCAGCCTGAGCCTGCATGCTGATGAAGGCTAGGGAATGGGGGCTGGGATGGGGGTGCCCTAGAGGTTGAGGGGGTTCCAGGACCTGGAAAGGCCAGGAGATTTTTCAGATGGGGAAAGCATAGGGTCCCAGGTACTGGTCCTGAGCCAATGAGGGTGACCCAGGGAACAGGGAGGGCAGCTCCTAGGGAGTTCATGGGTTCTAAGAGCCTTTGTGGCAGAAGGAGAGCCCCTGGGAACATATGTCCTGTGGGTTCAGCATGAACATGATCATCCTGGGCTTGGTGGGGAGAAAGGAATGCAGCTGGTCCTGGGTGCATCACCTTGGAGACCACCCCCCTGGGTGCTGGGGCCGGGTGGGGCACTGGGTGCCACAGGTCTCAAGATGGCGGGCCAGGGATAGGGGAGCAAGGAGGCGGGCACCTCCCTCTCCTGGCCAGGCAGGCATGACAGCCAGGGTGAAGTGAGTAGCAGAGCCTCCCACCCCCACCCCCCAGGACCCCAGCCAAGAAGCTAGGTCAGAGCTGAAGGGCTGAAGAGCTATGGGGCAGGAGGGACCATTCTGAGCCCCCAGCTGTCATCTCCATACACCCCTGGCCTGGAGGTCTGTCTCTGGCTCACACAAGGACTGCAGAGGATGGGAAGGGGTGTGTGTCCAGCCAGGAGCTACAGGGGAGTGGCAGATGAGGGCAGAGATGGAGCAGAACTAGAACCCAGAGCAGGTGGCAGAGAGAGGAGCAGGCCCAAAGGATAGAAACAGCGAGTGGGATGGGGGGCTTCAAATCTGGGATCTAAGGTCCAGGAAGCCTCTCCCTGGTGCTGGGGGCTCCTCTGGCAGACCAGCGGCCCCAACCTGTGCAGGCCTCAGCCGTGTGGGACAGGGAACGTATTCCTCACAGTCTCGCAGTCTTCCAAACCCGGGACCCCAACCGAGGGATCCGGGCACTGGCTCCCTGCCCTCGGACGAACCCCCAAACTTCGCGGCCCGCCGTGCCCCGCCCGGCCCGCGCCCTACCTCGCTGGGGCTGTCCTGCAGCGGCGGCGGCGGCGGCACGGCGGCTGGGCCGCTCAGTCCCACATTGTCCCCGGGAGAGGCGGCCGCTCACAACTGCGAGTGACATCAGCTGCGAACAATGAGGGGTTTGACAGGCGCGGAGCCCGGCCGGCCCGGAGCCCGGCTCCGCGCCCCCCCCCACCCCCCGGCCCGCCCGGCCCGGCCCCTCCCCGCCCCCTCCCCGGATCCGATTACAGCGCGGCGGGCCCGCCCCAGCCGCCCCAGTGCCGCAGCCGCCCGCCCCGCCCCGCGCGCCGCGGTGCGCCCCGAGCGGCGGCCGCTTCCGGGAGGGCTCGGGCGACCCTTCCCCTGCCGCTCTCGGAGCCTGGCGGGTTGCGACCAGGGGCGTCCGGACTGAAGCGCGGTTCCCAGCCCCTTCCTCGCGCCGCCCGCGCTGCGCCCGGCTCCGAGCCCCTCCGCTCCCGCCAGGCCAGTCCTTCCGGTCCGGGCCGCCCGCCCGACGCCTTTGCCGAGCCCCCATGCACCCCCCCCAACCCCTCCTCCGCCCCGCCGCCAGCCCCCGCTCCACTTCGCTCCGGGCCGGGGTCCCTCAGAGCTCCGGCTGTGATCCCGCGCCCCGCCCAGCTCCCGGCTCTGCTCCCTGCGCGCCATTCTCCGCTCGGGCTCGCGCCCACCCAGACCCGCTCCCCTCGTCCACCCACAGCTGCACGGCCCGGCCCTGGTCCGCGCAGGATAGGCTGGAGGAGGGGCGTGAGAGTCGTGTGGCCCTGTGCACCCGGCCCTGTGATAACCCCGAATCTAACCCCGGAATTCCTTTTGGGGCTAGGGTCGCAAGGGACGGGCTCCGTTGAGTCTTTTACTGGGGAAGGGATAGTAGTGGAGGAGGAGCTGAACTGTTCTCAAGTCCCCCAGACCTCCTCCCGCTCGCCGTCGGGGGAGCAACTGTCCTCCCCCTCTCCGCCATAATCGGCTCAGCCTGGTCCCACTGACCTCCACCTCCCCCCGCAGCTGAGTCTCTTGGCACCTGGGTATGTGTGGGTGGGGAGGGGAATCCAATCTCCCTTCCTCTCCATCTGGCCTGGTGGACAAAGGGCAGGGGGACCATCTGGTCCTGCCGGAGTGGGGGAGGGGCCCACAGCGTTGGTCCCAGGGTTGGGGGAGGGGCGGCGCTGTTTAGACGCAGGAACCTGTGAGGTCTAATTGCACCACTTTATTTCACCGACCTCCACTCTGGCTCCCACCCCTCAAGCCTCAGAGCAGGAATCAAGCTTCGATGAGAAGCCTCAGGCTTGGTAACTTGGGGAGATGCAGAGCACCCAGAAGGAAGGGTAAAAGCAAGGGGACAGAGCGGTGGCCCTCCCTTTCTGGGGGCCACTTCTGGCCTGGGGCCAGCTGAAACCTGTGGCTGAGTAACTTTCAGGGCTGGCCACACCCTAGGCCTTGCAAAAGGGTCTCCTGCAAGGGCTGGCCCATGGGGTCCCCACCTCCCCAGCCATGGTTAGAAGTGTTCATGTGTGCAAGTGCTTGTGTGGAGGCTCAAGTATGCATGTGTGTATATGCACAGCTGCACATGAGAATGTGCATGTCGGTCCAGAGTTACACGGACCTATGCAGTTGCTCTCAAGCGAAGGGTCATATTGGGGAACATGGATGGCTCTAAATATGTAAGCATGCATGTGGGCATGTATGTATGTGGGAAGTGGATGTTGGGGAAAGGGCTGGCCTGCAGGGCATTTGCAGAAGGAGGAGGGGTGGCAGGGGAAGGCTGGGCAGAGCAGAGGAAGGAGTAAAAGCTAGGCAGGAAAGTGGAAGAACAGGAGAAGCTCATCTAAAGGATTACCCTCCACCGGATTATGTTCCTTGATTCCTGAGGTTTCTTTCTCTTGATTTTACCTCCTCAGTCTATTACTGCAAAAGAAAGAAACAGAAAAGACAAACAGGCTACAAAAGACAAGAACCCAGACAAATAGACAGACGCACCTGTTGCATGTGCATGGGCCAGAGCCCATGAGAGAAGAGAGAGCATGAGAGAGAGAGAGAGAGAGAGAGAGAGAGAGAGAGAGAGAGATCAGAGCAGGCAGGCAGCCCACCCCCTGCAGCAGTGCTGTGCTTCACTCCAGCCCCTGCAGAAAGTCTAGCAGCCCCGTATGCCACTCCTCCGGTTTGTCCAGGTAACAGGGGTGCCCCGCCCCCTTCATGATCAGCACTCGGTGGTTGGGCAGCTGCTTCAGGTGCTCAAAGCTGGTCTGACCCATGGGGTCCTGGTCTCCATATACAATCAGAGCCGGAGTCTGAGAGGAAGGAAGGGTGGGGGGCAGAGTCAACAGGGACCTGCCATATCAGCTCCAGCCCTCCCCAGCACTTCAGTCTCTCCCTGGGACCACCCCATATGAGGGAGAGAGGCAAGCTGGCCCAGTGCATGGAGGCACAGATTGGCATTTGCCCCAGAAAACAATTTAGCACAGGGCTTGGCACAGTAGCCTGCTGAGTAAACCAAAAGGGTGGAGTTGGGTGGCCAGCTCCTCCCAGAAGACACCCCTTGGTTACCCAGCCCCCAGATGAGGAAGGCCCAGGGATGCACCATTCCCTGCTCCTTGCTCCTGGCAGGGACACCTCAGCTTCCCACACAAGGATACCTTCACACTGGCATAGTTGGCAGCATTGATTTTGTCAGTGCAGATGGGGGCCACTGGCACATAGCCCCGGAGCTGGGAGCCAGGGGCCGTGAGAAAGGGCAGGGAGTACATGCCACTCAGTGATGGACTGATCACAACTGGGGGGCCCAGCTCCAAGGCATCCACCACAGCCGCCAAGAAGCTCCCAGGAGCCAGCTCCCCAAGAGGGGCAGGGGCTGCTGCTTCCTTGGAGTGCCCCAGACCTGCAGGGATTCAGGTGTGGAAGAGACAAGACCAGAGCAGTGAATGGCAAAACAAGGGAGATGGTCCCTCTCTCCAGGAAGCCCTCCTAGGTCACTTTCTCTGTGGCCAGGTTCCTATAACATCAAGTGTGCCCACGTCTATTCCTACAGTAGCCTCACTCTATCCTATCTGTGCCAAGCATGAGGCATTTCTCTCCACATCTGTGCCCGTCTCCCCAACAGTAAGTGTCCTGAAGAGAATCAAGCTGTGAAGCCCAGTAAGTCTGAGTCTAGAACCCAGTTCTGCATCTCCTGTCTGTGTGACCTTGGATGGCTTCCCTCAGTCCTCTCTCAGCTACTCAGTTTCCCCATCTGTTAAAGGGAGAAAACAAAAGTGTCTGCCATTTAAGATTACTGTGAAAAGTAACTGCGTGAAAAGCAGCTGGCCCTGGATTGGCGCAGGAGAGGCTCCTGAAGGATATTGGCTGAGGGGCAGGTTCTGCACTCATAGCTCCTCCTCCAGTCATTCAGGCTTCACCAACAAGATTAGCTCCAGACCTTCACCCTGAAGCTCAGGCCAACTCACCATTGGAAACAATCCTGCCTGAGCTGGAGGACTGCCCTTGAGCCCTGTGGAAACCATACCATCCCTGGCATGAGGGGATTGGGCCAGCCATGCTGCCCCTGGCACCAAGGGTTGGGACCCAGCCGTCTGGGTTATGACAGGCAGTCTGGGCACTGACCCTACCTCCGCTGGAACCCAGCTCAGGGCTTTGCATGTGGGATCACAACTGGGGGCCTGGCCACCCACCAGGCCCTGCCTCGTATCCCAAGGCTTCAGAAGACTCAGATCTCATTCCATAGGGCTTCCAAAAGCCTATGGTTATGACACAGTCAAAATATTTTACTTCCAGTTTGCTGAGCACCCATTACTCTGTGTCAGGTACTAGCCACATACTCACATGGATTAGCTCATTCCATTCTCATTAGAGCCAGCCCCCAAACATGAGTGTGGTTTTTTCCCATTACAGATGAGGAAACAGAGGCTCAGAGACACTGAGACGCTGCCCAGGTAACAGTGAAGAGCAGTTGGGTGGCGAGGACCACATGTGGATCAAGACTGCTCAGAGGCCCTTGCAGTGTGCTTGACCAAACTCTGTCAAGCTCAAGGCCCAGCCTGGCTGGGTCCTCCCGATCCTATATCCCCCACCTGTGGGTCCCTGATGAGACCCCCCAACCCCTGCCCAGAAGCCTGCCCCTTAAGTACCTGGGAGGTCAATGGCCACAGCCTGGTAGCCAGCCTGGGCCAGCCTGTGCAGTGTACCCAGGTTCTGCCAGGTCTCAGAGGAGAAGCGGATACCATGCAGCAGCAGTACAGAGAAGCGAGCCTGCCCACTGCCAGGCCGGGCCTCTCGGAAGAAGAGACCCTGGCCCTGCACTTGGATGGTGCCCTCACGCTGCTCCACGCTTGCTGCCATGCCTGCTGCTGCTGTGCTGGTGAAGGGCCTGTGATTCAAAGCCATGATGATGAGAGGCCACAGAACTCCCTGCCCAGGTGGAGCAGGGAGGCTGCTGCAGACAGGGTGGGGGTCCCACAGGACCAGCAAGGAAGCCTCCAGGAGGCTTCCAGAACTTTAGGAACATGCTTTGGGCTCAGGAGGACATAGATGTTATTTCTGCCTCTGCCATTCACTTTATTGTGTAACCCTGGGCCTCAGCTTCTTGATCTGAAATATGGGAACAATAAAGCCAACCTCAAAAATTAGGAAGTTTAAGAAAAAAATTATCAGTGGGGGTGCCTGCTGCAAAAACTCAATATATGGGGCTCCCATTGCGATTACTGTTCTTACTGTTATTATTCTTTTCTATAAATGGGGGTAATTCAATAGCACTAGGTCACAGGTAGTTGACAGTATTAAATAAGGGGATGCATGTGCCATGCCTACCATGTAGGAAGGGGTCACTGCTCAGTCAGCAGTAAGTACCCACTCTGGTACTTCAACAGTAAGTTACAGGTTTACAGGTCATGGGTTGGCAACGCAGGCCAGAGGGAGCCCAAATTGAGGTAAAAAGCCCATTTCCTTTTTCTTTTTTGGAAACTCTTGTTGCCCAGGCTGGAGTGCAGTGGCATGATCTCAGCTCACTGCAACCTCCACCTCCTGGATTCAAGTGATTCTCCTGCCTCAGCTTCCTGAGTAGCTGGGTTTACAGGCACTGGTCACCATGCCCGGCTAAATTGTGTATTTTTAGTAGAGACGGGGTCGCATCCTGTTGGCCAGACTGGTCTGGAACTCCTGACTTCAAGTAATCCGTCCACCTTGGCTTCCCAAAATGCTGAGATTACAGGCGTGAGCCACTGCGCCCAGACTAAAAAGCCCATTTTCTTCATCTTTTTTTTTTTTTTTTTTTTTTTTTTTTAAGAGAAGGGATCTCGCTCTGTCGCTCAGGCTGGAATGCAGCGGTGCAATCATGGCTCACTGCAGCCTTGAGCTTCCTGGGCTCAAGTGATCCTCCCGCCTCACCCCCCAGTAGCTGGAACCACAGGCGCGCACCCCCACACCCGAAAGCCCATTTTCTAGAGGCGGAAACCGAAGCGCCCAGAGGGTAAGGCGACCCGCCTGGGACGCAGGGTGCTCAACGCGCTGCCAGCTGGGGCCCAACGCGTTGACCTCGCGGTCAGGTTCCTTCCGCGGACCACCGTTCTGGCTCGCTAGGTCTGGAATGGAGCACGGAGAGGGAATGGTGGCAACCCCGAAGGAGGAGACCCAGAAATCCGAGAAAGGAAGACTTAGAGTAGGTGGGGTTGGGTTTTGACTGGAGAGAGGAAGAAAAGGTCAGGAGCGCAGGGCGGGTACCTGGGGAGCTGCGTGGACTCGCGCAGAAGGGAGGCAGGCGAGTGCTGGCGGTGGATGGGGCCGGAGGAGGAACTCGGGGAAGAGGTCGGGTCCCAACCAAAGGGGGCGGGGACTGGGCCGTACTCCCGGACGCCCTCTTGTGGCCACAAGCTCGCAGGGTCCATAGTCGCTGCTAAACTGCCGTTCTCACAGCGGCCTCAGTTTCCCCAAGCCTCTCGGTCCCACATGCCCCAAACACGGTGCTGAGCACGGTCTCGAACTCCTCAGCTACCTGCCCCACAATGACATGGAGCGGTCTGAAGAGGAAAGTTCCTTCAGGATAGCATCTTTGCTGCTCTCTTCCTGCTCCCCATCCCTCTCATCCCCCAGCCAGAACTGCCCAGGGTAAGTTGACGGCCTGGCACCGAGTTGTGCGCCTGGCACGGAATTGAAGCCCGACAGGTTTGAGTGAGGAGCTCCGCCAGTGTCCAGCCAAGTGGCCTTGATCGTTTTCCCAATGCCTCCGAGCCTGTTTCCTGCCTGTAGAGCGGGTCAGATGTTGCCAACCTCTGCAGGGTACCAATAAGGAGTAAACTCCGCGCTCTGTACAGCCTCCCTGTGCTGGGCCCGGTCGCCACGCAGAGCATAGGGCCTGGGACAGGCCAGACGTTGGTAACATATCGCAAACCAGGGCAGGTGCCAGGAGTAGACCTGAAGGAGCCCAGGGGCCAGCCCAGGCTCTGGCCGTGAGTGTGCGTCGGGGCGTGCGTCGTCGGGGCAGGGTGGGGTAGGGTGGGGTGGGGTGGGGTGGAGTGGGCAGAAGTCAGGAAAATGGCTGGGCCAAGACCTGGAGCTGCTGCATAACAATATCTGGCATTTACACAACAAGGCCTCTGCTCCAGACACTGTTCTGAGGCTTGAACCGTCCCTAAGAACCTAGGACAAGCCTGTGCGGTGGGTTTTATCCTTAAATCCATTGTACAGGCCAGCGAACTGAGCGAGGGTGGAGACGTTCCGCTGGGAAGAAGCCACTGGCTCCCCGGCGGCCCTCAGGTCAAAAACAATTTCAAAAATCCGGGCGTGCGGCGGGCCAGAGAGAGTTGGGGCTCTGCCCCCAGGCACCCACTGGGCGCAGGCGACTCGGTAACTGGGCGGCAGGCCAGCGGCTGCGGAGTGCGCAAGCGCGCCTCGGTGGCCGCGCTCCCGAACGCCTAGAGCCGGAGCGGCCCGCGGAGCCGCGAAGGCAGCCATGGTCGCGGCGCTGTGCGGCTGCTGGTTCCGCCTGGGCGGGGCCCGCCCGCTTCTCCCGCTTGGCCCGGTGAGTGTCCCCGGGGAGGGAGGCCGACCGGTGGCCCGGGGGCGGGCCATCTTTACCCCGCCCCTTGCCCGGGCGCTCCGGGACAGAGTCCCGCGGAAGAAGCGGACGCTGGGGCCGCGAGTGTGCGTGTGCGCGCGTGTCGTGTGTGCGCGCAGGGTCTGCGTGTGTTCTTGAGGGTCTGGGAGTATGTATGTGTTCGCTCATGTGCCTGTGTGGTGTCCGTCAGGGTGTGTTTCTACGCGCTTATATTGGGGGGTGTGTTCGTCGATGTCTACCTGCTTGTGTCAGTGTGGGTCTTCTGAGTGTATTTCTGTGTGCGTGTGACTTTAAGGGTATGTGTCTACCTGTCTGCGTCTGTGTGCATTTCTGGGGGTTGGTGAGTGTGTGTGTCTGCCTTCCTGTGCATGTGTCTTTCTTGTGTGAGCATGTAGCCTTACGTTTGTGCGGATGACAGTGCTTGAGGATTTCTGAGGATCAGCATGTGGTTTTGAAAGCGTGCGTCTGCATCAGTCTGTCTGCCTTCCTGATGCCTGACTGCTTAGGTGATTTCGAGGGTACCATTACAAGGGATTGATTGCACACGGGCCAGTGTGTGTGCAAGGAAGCTGCATGTACAAGAAGGCTGCATGTACATGCAGGGAATAGCTTGTACAAAACAAAGTATGGGGGCAAGACTCGTCTTTGTATGTGTGTGCACTTGGGTGTCATTGACAAGCATATTCCAATAACCTAACGCGGGGCACAGTTTACCCTGCGCCCACATATCTCCAAAGGCAGCCGGCTGCAGGTCCGCCACAATTGCCTAGTACTGCTGGCAACCTGGGTTGCCAAGGCAACAGCCTAAGCCCCGCCCTTACCTCCTTGGAGGCGCGCGGGGGCGCCCCGGGAGGACAGCAAGGAAAGGTCCCTCACGCTCGGCGGGAACCCGGGCTAAAGCCCGTTGGAGCTGCGCATCCGAGGTTGTTCGTGGTTTGGAAGAAAACAGGAACCCACTCTTCCTCCGATAGGTCCTGGTTTTTCAGAAACACCAGAGAGGCTGCCAACCACAAACCCCCGGACCCCGGAGCCTGAGGATGCGGGCTCGGGAAACATCCCCAAACATCCCCGAGGGACGAGTAGGGTCCAAGACAGGCCCCTGGCTCCTAGCTCGGGCAGGCGCCCAATTGGCACTCAGTAAAGATGTGTTTGCTGGACTCCCCGAACGAAGCAAGCGTGCTCATCCTAGGCCCAAGAAATGACAGGAACAGCCCTCTTCCAGCGCACGGTATTATCTAAATCTCACAGGAAGCTTGGGAGGTTAGCCACGAGGTTATCCCATCTTACTGACAAACTGAAGACACATGCCAGGAAGTGGCCGTCTCAAAGGCGTGCCCTATTTGAGTCCTGGGTCCTAAGGGCTGCCCTCTGGGGTGGCGCAGACCCCAAACTGGAGGAGTCCATGAAGCAGGTCATTTGGCCGGAAGCTGTCTGTGTGTGGGATGGGGAGTGGCAGGCCGCGTTCATCTCTCCAAACTCCACACTGCACTTTTCGTTTCTAGGTGTACCACACTCCTCCCTGGCCCTGCAGCCCCCGACTCCTCAGCATTTTCCTCTATCACAGACATTCTCTGTGAGCCTCTTCAAAACAGCTGGGGTAGACTGTTAGTTATAATGTGATTGTAAAGCACGTTCTGATTTTAGCAGTATTAAATGCAGTGAGATGAAAAGCACCATTTCCAAACATGCCCTCAAGTGGGAAGTCCCTCTGCACTTGGTCTTTCTCCTTTGATAACCCTCACCACTTTTTCCACCAGCAAGGTTCCAGTTCATCCATCACCTCCCAGCTCTCCAGGTTCCTCCTTGGCAATCCGAGTGTGGCCTGGTAGTTGGAAGGCCAGTCTTGGGTTCAAACCCCAATTCCCCCACTTGCTACTTGGCACTCTGGGCAAGAGAATGTACCTCTCTGAGCCTCTATCTCCTCGCCTGTAAGAGACCTATGATCACATCTGCTCCCCAGCGTTCTTGGTGGAAAAGAACCTTGTATGTGAAGGGCCATACTCAGGGCCTGCTGTCATAAGCGCTCGATGAACCATAGTGGTTTCAACTGATGCTGTGATGGTTGCAGTCACGGAGCATGCTGTGTGCCATGGGACAGCTCAGATGCACTTCCTCGTACTGTGAAGTATCTGAGCCTTTGCCCTGGCATGTGGAGTAGTTGGGTGTGAAACCCCAGACCTTTTCCCAGAGCAAGGGAAAGGGCAAGGGCTAGAGCTGGGGACTCTGGGTGGGGTTTTGGGATGGGGTCCAGGGGCCTTTGTAGGGGCGCAGTCCCAGCCTCTTTTCCCTCTCCTCTGCTTCTCCAGACTGTGGTACAGACCTCCATGAGTCGGTCCCAGGTAGCCCTGCTAGGCCTGGGTCTGCTGCTCATGCTCCTACTGTATGTGGGGCTGCCGGGCCCCCTCAAGCAGACGTCTTGGCTCTGGGGAGACCCCAATGTCACAATCTTGGCTGGTCTCACCCCTGGCAACTCCCCCATCTTTTACCGTGAGGTGCTCCCGCTCAACCGGGCACGCAGGTAGGTGCTGTCCCAAGGGTCTAGTGGACAGACTAGGCCCAAGGGGAGTCTCTGTGTGGGACCCCATTATACTCAGGGTGCTCAGGGCCTGGGAGGGCAATGGGAGAAGGCTAGGAAGAAAGAAAGGCGGGCTACGCCAGGTCCTCAGCACACACATTCCCCTGTGTGCCTGCAGGGTGCAGGTGGTGCTGCTTCATGGAAAGGCCTTTAACTCGCACACGTGGGAGCAGCTGGGCACACTGCAGCTGCTGTCACAGAGGGGCTACCGGGCCGTGGCCCTTGACCTTCCAGGTGAGTACCCCCACCCCTTCATCTAAGAAAGCTCTAAGCCCTAAGACCCAGTGTCTGGACAAGCAGTGGCAGGTCACAGCATAAGGTGGCACTATGAAAAAGTCTGTGTTTTTATTTTCTACCATGAAAACTACAGTGTGAATTGTAGGTCACAAAGCAAATAGAAATGTGACTCACTTCACAAGCAGTGTACTTTCTTCTTCTTCTTCTTCTTTTTTTTTTTTTTTTTTTTTTTTTTTTTTTTTTTTTTTTGTAGAAAAATCTCCCTCTGTTGCCCAGGCTGGAGTCCTGCATGATCTCGCTGCAACCTCCACCTCCCAGGTTCAAGCGATTCTCCTGCCTCAGCTTCCAAGTAGCTGGGATTACAGGTGCCTGCCACCATGCCCAGCTAATTTTTGTATTTTTAGTAGAGAAGGAGTTTTACCATGCTGGCCAAGCTGGTCTCAAAATTCTGTCCTCAGACAATCCACTCACCTCGGCCTCCGAAAGTGCTGGGATTACAGGCGTGAACCACTGCACCCAGCCAAGCAGTATACTTTCTATGACAAACTATATAGCTTTTTGTGTTTTTAAGTACACAAATGATTTATGCTATCATTCTTGTCATTAGAAAAAGCAAAAAATGTCATCGAGTCATAGAGGATGAAAAAAATCGAAAAACTAGCAAAGCTTTCAAAGACCAATGCCACATTTCTCTCCCTCTCTAAGAAGTGTAGGGGATGCTACACCCTCTTCTGGGTATTCCCGCTCAATATGGAGGCTTGTCTGGTTGTGGGTGTAAACATGATTGGTGTCCTGCCTGCTTAGCACATCCATCTGCAGCTTGGTTTTCTCCCCCTATACCATGTCTTGAGGATCCTGCATGTCCCTGCAAACCTCCCTCTCTAGTGTTAACCCTGCAGTGTGTGCCACAGGAGGGATGGACGGGCTTTATCCAGCCATTCCTCTACTGGCAGAATGCTCAAGCAATGTAGCTGAAGCATTCTTGGACATGCTTCTTTGAGCATGTAAGCAATAATTTCTCCAGGGTAGCTACTGAAGACAATTGATGGGCCAAAGGAAGCTCATTGTTGAATTTAGATAACTACTGCCTACCCTCCAAAAGGGCTGTATGGATTTACCCTGCCATCTGTCATGTATGAAAGTGCCCATTTCCCCATGTCTTCCGCAACACTGGGTATTATTTCAATCTTTTTCACTTTGCTAATATTATGATGAATGAAAAATGTGCTTTTCTTTTTCTTTTCTTTTTTTTTTTTTGTTGAGACAGAGTCTCGCTGTGTCGCCCAGGCTGCAGTGCAGTGGCGTGATCTTGGCTCACTACAACCTCCACCTCCTGGGTTCCAGCGATCTTCCTATCTCAGCCTCCCAAGTAGCTGAGATTACAGGGGCACACCACCACACCCCACTAATTTTTGTATTTTTTAGTAGAGATAGGGTTTCTCCATGTTGGCCAGGCTGGTCTCAAACTCCTGACCTCAGGTGGGTGCCCACCTCAGCCTCCCAAAGTGCTGGGATTACAGGCATGAGCCACCTCGCCAGGCCAAGATACGCTTCTCTTTTCTTTTTGTTTTTTTTTCCTGAGACAGAGTCTCACTCTTGTTGCCCAGGCTGGCACACATTGGCACCATCTGGCCTCACTGCAACCTCCGCCTCCTGGGTTCAAGCAATTCTCCTGTCTCAGCCCCCTGAGTAGCTGGGATTACAAGCGTGTGCTACCACACCCAGCTGATTATTATTGGTTTTTTTGGTTTTTTTTTTTTGAGACGGAGTTTTGCTCTTGTTACCCAGGCTGGAGTGCAATGGCACGATCTCGGCTCACCACAACCTCCGCCTCCTGGGTTCAGGCAATTCTCCTGCCTCAGCCTCCTGAGTAGGTGGGATTACAGGCACGCGCCACCATGCTGGGCTATTTTTTTGTATTTTTAGTAGAGATGGGGTTTCAACACGTTGACCAGGATGGTCTCGATCTCTTGACCTCGTGATCCACTCGCCTTGGCCTCCCAAAGTCCTGAGATTACAGGCTTGAGCCACCATGCCTGGCCTCAATTTTTGTATTTTTAATGGAGATGGGGTTTCACCATGTTGGCCAGGCTGGTCTCGAACTCCTGACCTCAGGTGATCTACCGACCTCGGCCTCCCAAAGTGTTGGGATTACAGGCGTGAGCCACTGTGACTGGCATCCAAGATATGCTTTTCTAACAGGGGTATCACATTACCAAAAAGTAGCTTCTGGGCAGTTTTAGGTAGTGTGTGCCAGTGCCACTGGTCCCCAACTTTTTCCCCCACTGTGGTGGGTAGGAAGTCCTGCACCCCTTCCCAGTGCCCCTCAGCTGGTACCTGCTGCTGTTCCTAGGTTTTGGGAACTCAGCACCTTCGAAGGAGGCAAGCACAGAGGCAGGGCGGGCGGAGCTGCTGGCACAAGCACTGCGGGACCTGGAGGTACAGAATGCCGTGTTGGTGAGCCCCTCGCTGAGTGGCCGCTATGCCCTGCCCTTCCTGATTCGAAGCCACCACCAGCTACATGGATTCGTGCCCATCGCACCCACCTCCACCCAAAACTACACCCAGGAGCAATTCTGGGCTGTGAAGGTACTAGGAGAAGGATCTCAAAGGTCCTGGCGCCCTGTCCCTGGCTTGGGGGGGTTCAGGACTCAAGTCTTACTTGGAGGGACATGGCCTTATCCCTGATCTTGGATGGAAGAATTGGGGTGTTTGGGGAAGGCTTCCTAGGAAGTGGCTTGGGGGTCAGATACTTATCAGGCCCCAGAGTCACGGCCCCCTGCCTTGCCCTGCAGACTCCAACCCTTATCCTGTATGGGGAGCTGGACCACATCCTGGCTCGAGAGTCACTGCGGCAGCTCCGCCACCTGCCCAACCACTCCGTGGTGAAGCTACGCAATGCAGGCCATGCCTGTTACCTCCATAAGCCACAAGACTTCCACGTTGCCCTGCTTGCCTTTCTTGACCATCTACCTTGAGTTAACGCACTCCCCGGTCCCAGCCTGGCCTGAACTTGGACAGTCTGGACTGCTACCCTCCCCCAACCAGGGAGACAGCCCCTGGGATTGGAGGCCAGAGGCCAGAGGGTCAGACCCAGCCAGGACTTCTCATTTCATCTCACAGACACAATAAATGAGCATATTTGTCCTGCTTGGGAAGTGACAGGTTCCATTTCCTGGTGTGCTGCGGTAGAGATGTGAGTGGCAGGCAAGTCTGGGACTACTTTGGGCCTGGGAGCTGGAGGGGATACTCCAGCAGCCCAGGAAGGCTAAGAGTGCATCACTTCCTAAGTGCCTGGCCTCACCACTCCATGCCTCAGTTTCCTCATCTGTAAAATGGGTATGATGGCAACTCCTAGGTTGGAGGGTGGCTGTAGGACTGAATGAGTCTGGATAACTGAGTACTTGGCCATATAAGGGTTGGGGGTTGCTGTGGGAGGCAGGGTGTATTATGCTGCCCGCATGACCACTGGGACTGGGGGGAAATCCAGGGTTTGGACAGCCAAGCTGGAGTCAGGAACCTAGAGGGTGTGGGGAATGCATTTTAAGAATTAGCATTGGCTTGGTGCAGTGGCTTACGTCTGTAATCCCAGCACCTTGAGAGGCCAAGGCAAGTGGATCACCTGAGGTCAGGAGTTCAAGACCAGCCTGGCCAACAAGATGAAACCCTTTCTCTACTAAAAATACAAAAATTAGCTGGGTGTGGTGGCACACACCTGTAGTTCCAGATACTCAGGAGGCTGAGGCAGAAGGATTGCTTGAACCTGGTAGGCAGAGGTTGCGGTGAGCCAAGATCACGCCATTATATTCCTGGGCAACAAGAGTGAAACAATCTCTCTCTCTCTCTCTCTCTCTCTCTCTCTCTCTATATATATATATATATATATATATATATATATATGTATGTGTATATATATATGTATGTGTATATATATATATGTATGTGTGTATATATATATATATATATATACACACACACAAAAAAAAGATAGCCAGTGTGGTGGCAGGCACCTGAAATCCCAGCTACTCGGGAGACTGAGGCAGGAGAATCATTTGAACCCAGGAGGTGGAGTTTGCAGTGAGCTGAGAACAAGCCACTGTACTCCAGCCTGGGCAACAGAGTGAGGCACCGTATTAAAAAAACAAATAGCTAGGCCGGGCGCGGTGGCTCAAGCCTGTAATCCCAGCACTTTGGGAGGCCGAGGCGGGTGGATCACGAGGTCAATAGATCGAGACCATCCTGGTCAACATGGTGAAACCCCGTCTCTACTAAAAATACAAAAAATTAGCTGGGCATGGTGGCACGTGCCTGTAATCCCAGCTACTCAGGAGGCTGAGGCAGGAGAATTGCCTGAACCCAGGAGGCGGAGGTTGCGGTGAGCCGAGATCGCGCCATTGCACTCCAGCCTGGGTAACAAGAGCGAAACTCCGTCTCAAAAAAAAAAAAAAAAAAAAAAAGCTAAATAATTAGCCAGCATTGCTATGAGTTAAAGTCTATTCGCTCACATGAATAGCTAAATAATTAGTCAGCATTGTTATGAGTCAAAGTCTATTTGCTGCATGACAGAGTGAGACTGTATGAAAAAAATCCCTAAATAAAGAATTAGCCAGCATTGTTCTGAGTTAAAATCCACTTGCCCCCATGTTATGTGTGAGCAGCCAAGCCTTAACTTTCAGGAAAAGTGGGCCAGACCCCCTCCCCACAGCCTGCCTCCTTGGCCTAGAGATTGACGTCTGTCTCTCACCCTTCCCCAAGCTGACTCACCCCTGGAGCAGAGGGCAGACCTGGCTGGGAGTGCAAAGGGCAGCTCCTGCATAAGTGGGCAACTGCAGCTGTGGCCTGCAGGGGGCTGGTGGGACACCTGTGCCTGTTTAGCCTCCCTCTCCCGTGGCTGCAGAAGAGCCAGAGTTTCCTCACTGTCATCCAGGGTCGAAATTACATCCACTCACAGTGACATCATCACACCCACCCACCATCTCACACACACGATCATACCCACTGGTAGACTGCACACGCGGTGGCACACTCACACCATCACACGTGTTCTTGTCCATGCATTTATCCTCATTCCTGACACGGTGTCCGGGCTCGGCCCGGCCAGGGGCAAACCTTGCAGGAAGCGGAGCTGACAGCCTCCCGGAGCTCACAGCGTGGGGCGGACAGACATTGGCCAGTAACCAGTACAAGCGGAGCTAAGGCGTCAGGGAGGACCTCCCCGAGAGGCTGAGGCAAGCAAAGGGGGCCTGTTGGAGACTTGCCAGAGGAGGGCAGGGGGCAGCTCTGCATCGGAGAGCCTTGGGACGGCCTGCTCTCCTCCCGCCCTATCCGGAGGCTGAAGGAGGAGGCGCCCTCAGGGGGCGGGACCGTCCTGAGCTCGCAGGCCCGGGCAGGAGTGGCAGGCGTGTCGTGGGCCCTCACTGGCGGTCTTCGGTCTCCGCCCCGAGATCAGGGCCCGGCCACGTGGTGGGGCGGACCGGGGCGGTCCTGAGCCTTCGACCTCGCGGGACCGTGAGTCCAGTTCACAGTCTGGGGCTGTCGCTGAGGGACTAGCGTGAGTCCAGCGACAGGAGAGTAAGGTGGAGTCCCTGGGAAGGGATGGAGGGACTGGGACTCCGTGGCTTAAAAGCCGGGCAATTGAGAGGTGTTTTGGGTTTTTTGTTGTTGTTTGTTTTTTAGAAGGGCGTGGGGAGGACAAGTCTGGGTTCAAACCTGGCTCAGCTACTCTCTGAGCTGTCCTTGAACCTCTCTCAGCCTCTCAGCTTTCTCCTCTGTAAAGTGAGCATTCTGAGTACAAACTTCATGAGGCTCTTCTGGGCATTAAATAAGGAAATATGCTGGAAGCGGACAGCCCAGCGCCTGAAACAGAATGGGTGCTCCTTAACAGGGGCTCCAAGACACGGTATCCTCCTCCTGTGGGAGATCCGGGAGCTGCCGTGGGATGGGTTGTGTGCAGGAGTGCACCGGGTCCAGAGGCTGGGAGGGGTAGTTAGCCATTCTTTGCCCCCAGCTCACCACGCACAGCGCCATGACCAGCAAGGGTCCCGAGGAGGAGCACCCCTCCGTGACGCTCTTCCGCCAGTACCTGCGCATCCGCACCGTCCAGCCCAAGCCTGACTATGGTGAGAAGACGGTAGTTCTAGAGCCTGTGACGGGGCCTAAGGGATGGGGACTGTGCTCTAAACCAGCCTCCAAGCCCTGTCACCCCGCTGAGTCCCACTCTGCTGCCCCAAACAGCTCCCCCTCCAGCCATTCCCCAAGTCAGTGGACTGAGGCAGCCTCTCCAGGTAGTAGAGGAACTCTTTCCCCAGAGGCTCTGCTGCTATAAAGGTTACTCCTGGCAGCTGCTTGAAGAAAAACTTCACCTCACTCCCCAGGGTGGGAGGGGTGGGGGAAGCCTAGGGCAGCCACAGGGGAAGGAGAGGCCCTCCAGAAGCCTACTGGGGCTGGACAAAGGCTGCAGCCCTTAGGGAATCAAGCTTGGTAGCTAGGGCCTGGGAGATGGCTCCTGCCTGTTATCTCAGCACTTCGGGAGGTTGAGGCTGGCAGATTGCTTGGGCCCAGGAGTTCGAGACTGGCCTGGGCAACACGGCAAGACTCTGTCTCTACAGAAAAATACAAAAATTAGTCAGGAATGGTGGCCCACCTATAGCCCCAGCTTCGTGGGAGGTTGAGGTGGGATGATCGCTTGAACCTGGGAGTTCGAGGCTGCAGTGAGCCAAGATCATACCTCTTCACTCCAGCCTTGGTGACAGAGTGAGACCCCATCTCAAAAAAAAAAAAAAAAGAAAGGAAAAGGAAGAAAAAAAAACCATGGTGGCTGGGAATTGTGTATATGGATCCAAATTCCTGCTCTGATTAATGAGCTCAGAGATGGTGGGTGAATCTCTTCATGTCTCTGTGCCATAGTTTACCATATTTAAGGAAGATAACACCTTCCTCCAACTCTGGACATCCCCCTGACCTTCCAGAAAGGGTCACTGACTAGCCAAAAATACCTTTTTTCTTGAGGATGGAAATGCAGGTGTCTCTGAGGGATATGGATTCTGTTGGGGAGGCAACAGTCCATTTCTGGGTTTGCTCCTCTCTGGGCTGCCTGGCCTAGTGGGAAGCCATGGGTAGGCAGATGCAGCCCCAAGACACTCTGCGCCTCCAGGAGCTGCGGTGGCCTTCCTTGAGGAGAGAGCCTGCCAGCTGGGCCTGAGCTGCCAGAAAGTGGAGGTGAGCCTGGGGCCCTAAGTGGGGAGGGGAGGTGGGCCTGGGCACTTCCTCACCCTGCTCGGACCACCCCCCCAACCCTCTCCAGGTGGCACCTGGCTATGTGGTGACCGTGCTGACCTGGCCAGGCACCAACCCTACACTCTCCTCCATCTTGCTCAACTCCCACACGGATGTGGTGCCTGTCTTCAAGGTGTGTAAGGGGCTGGGGAGGTGGGTAGTGCAGGCCTTGGGGACAGACATGATGCAGACCCCACGATCCAATCTCAGGGAGCCCATGGTCCTGGTTCTGGTCCTGGCACTAACTCTCAATGTCCTTATGACATTACATCACTCAAGCAGCCTTTGTCCAGCAACAGTTCTGTGCCAAAGCGGGGTGGGGATTGGGGGGTGGGAAACAGGAAACATCGATGGGGGATGGCAATCCAGCTGCCTTATTCAGCCCCCATCTTCCCCCCACCACTCCTTCTGTCACTCCAACCCTATGGTGGGCTCCTACGGCAGGGCCACCACTGACCAGAGGGGATCAATGACTAAATCTGGGTTTTGGGCCCCTCGTCCCATCCCTGCCCCCAGGAATATTGGAGTCACGACCCCTTTGAGGCCTTCAAGGATTCTGAGGGCTACATCTATGCCAGGGGCGCCCAGGACATGAAGTGCATCAGCATCCAGTGAGTGCCCTCCATTCCCACTCCCCCACAATGTCCCCACTGGTCCGATGGATTGACCCAGGACCTGGGGGGTGATTGGAGAAACTCAAGGCCAAGGGACACCTTCACCCCTTGGACAAGACTTACTTCCATGACCATTGCATGGATAGGGATATTGAGCCCAGAGAGGAGCAGGGACTTTCTGGAATCCCTACTAGGGTGTGGCAGGGTAGAGTCCAGGGCACAGGAATCCAGCCTGCTGGCCCTGCCTGCTGGGCCAGACTGAGCATCTCGTGGCTCTCCCCACACATGGCTTATGCCCCATCAGGTACCTGGAGGCTGTGAGGAGGCTGAAGGCGGAGGGCCACCAGCTCCCCAGAACCATCCACATGACCTTTGTGCCTGGTAGGAGTGGCTCAGATACCTTTGGGAAAGGGGATGGTGGGGTGGGGCAGCCTCCTCATCTCATGTCCCTGCTGCTTTTACAGATGAGGAGGTCGGGGGTCACCAAGGCATGGAGCTGTTCGTGCAGCGGCCAGAGTTCCAGGCCCTGAGGGCAGGCTTCGCCCTGGATGAGGGTAAGCAGGTTGGCAAGCCACTGAGCAGCCAGACAGGGGGTAGGAGGCTGCTAGTGGGGTCTGGGCCGCTCTACCCTCTGAACCCCCTCTCCCTCCTCAGGCCTGGCCAACCCCACTGATGCTTTCACTGTCTTTTATAGTGAGCGGAGTCCCTGGTGTAAGTATGAGCTTGGAGGGAGGGCTCACTCTGCAGGTGGGAGGCTAGGCCAGAAAGGGCATAGTCCTACGAAGGGTTGCACAGCAAGTTGAGACCCGAGAAGGCCTTGAATCCAGGCCGCGTCCTACCTGAGCTTCTCTGAGGGCAAGCCCTGACTGGGCAGAAACCAGCTCTATGCTATGGGCCCTGGGGGCAGACAGGGCCGGGCCAGAGGAGCCTGGAATGAGGGGGAGACCTGGACCCCTCCAGGGCTGACTGTGCCTCCAGCCCCTCTCGTGCTGAAGACACTCCCTTTCCCCTACACCTCCCCAGGGGTGCGGGTCACCAGCACTGGGAGGCCAGGCCATAGCTCGCGCTTCATCAAGGACACAGCAGCAGAGAAGCTGGTACGTGGCACCCCGGGAGGGAGTCTGGGAGTTCAGGAGGCTCTATCCTGAGGCCACTGTCCCATTTAACCTCATACTCTCGTAGCACAAGGTTGTGAGCTCCATCCTGGCATTCCGGGAGAAGGAACAGCAGAGGTAAGACAGCCTGGGAAGCAGTAGGGCTGGCTCTGGGAGGCGGTACTACGGAGGATAGAGTCTGAGCCACCTCCTTTTATCTGTTGCTGCCCCTACCCTACCCTGGCACCACAGGCTGCAGTCAAACCCCCACCTGAAAGAGGGAGCCGTGACCTCTGTGAACCTGACTAAGCTAGAGGGTGGCGTGGCCTATAACGTGGTACCTGCCACTATGAGCGCCAGCTTTGACTTCCGCGTGGCACCGGATGTGGACTTAAAGGTGCCACCTCCACCTGGGTTTGGAGGAGGGATCCTGGTCCTCAATCTTGTCCTAGAGGCCCCTGGAAAGCCTGAAGGATCAGCTCATCCTCCTTCTCTTAGGCTTTCGAGGAGCAGCTGCAGAGCTGGTGCCAGGCAGCTGGTGAGGGGGTCACCTTTGAGTTTGGTCAGGTATGAATGGATTTGGGTCATGTGATAGGGGAGTGTGAGGGCTGGGCGAGACCCAAGTGTGCAACAGTACAGTGTGTGCATATCTGGGGATTTATCTGTGACAGACATATTTTATTCCAACAAGCATTAGTTGTAGAGGCAACTGTGGACGCTGGGGAATGCTATGGGGAGTAAAATTAGGAGTGAAACAGGGAGACAGACATAAATCAAACATTTATGTGATACTACTTTTTTCTAAGAGTCTCACTCTGTCACCTAGGCTCCAGAGCTGTGGCTGGACTGGCCACCCAGATGTCTGGGTAGTTGAAGGGGTGGGAGTGGGGAGGTGTTCTGTGCCAGGCACAGCCTACTCTATGGAAAATAGGGCAAGATGCCCAGAACTATGTCCCGATCCTGCCATCCTTCCCATCCCCCAGAAGTGGACACAGCCCCAAGTGACACCTACTGATGACTCAAACCCCTGGTGGGCAGCTTTTAGCCGGGTCTGCAAGGACATGTGAGCATGCTGGCCAGCTCTCCTCACAGTCCAGCCCCCTACTCCTCTCCTTCCTGATGCCCCCTCCCTTCTCCCTCCTTCCCCCACCTCTCTCCCACCTTCCTTTGCCTCTTCAATTCTTCCCTTGTCCTCTTCCCTATCTCCCTCCCCATTTATCAGGCTCTTCCTCCTACAGGAACCTCACTCTGGAGCCTGAGATCTTCCCTGCTGCCACCGACAGCCGCTATCTCCGAGCGGTGAGCCACCTGCACATAGTGCCTGGGCAGTGAACTGGGCCTGTGTGCTGGCTTTCCCCTAACGGCTCCTCCTCACCCCTGCAGGTGGGGGTCCCAGCTCTAGGTTTCTCACCCATGAACCACACACCTGTGCTGCTGCACGACCATGATGAACGGCTCCATGAGGCCGTGTTCCTCCGGGGGGTGGACATATATACACGCCTGCTGCCTGCCCTTGCCAGTGTGCCTGCCCTGCCCGGTGAGAGCTGAGCCCTGGAATTCCTCAACCTCTGCCACTGGGGCTTCCATCCAACCAGTACCAATGACCCCCTCTTCCCCCTTCCAAATAATAAAGTCTGTGGACAGGGCTGTCTCTGAAGTACTAACAGCAACGACACTCACGGAGCAAGAATTTTCCTTTTCCCGGGGACATGTTATCTTCTCCATTTCACACATGAATAAACTGAGCCTGTAAGTCAGTTCATCTAGGGGTCCTTATCACCCTGGATGGGTGTGTGCAGAGGCCCAGAAACCAGGCTTCCATCTCAGCCTTGCTAGGCCCCCAGGCAGTACCAAGAGTAAACCATGGCCCCAAGAACAGAGCCTGTTCTAGCCGGATCTGCTGTGTCCTGTTAGGACCTCCCTGAGTATGGGGCAGGGGAATTAGGGATGGGGTGGGGTGGTTGCATTTTTAAAATTTCTGGCTGTAGCCAGAAGAGAAGTCCGAGCCTGGCTCTGGGCTGCAGGCTTAGTACTAACAGAAGTAACAATCACTCCTGCTCCCAGTTGACCAGGAGCCAGGACTTAAGTCTGCCTTACTTTTCATTGAACTCTCACAGCAATCTTGTGACGGATGCCAGGTCCTACTAGCGGTGTAGAAACAGGGTTCACTGGCCAGGCGCAGTGGCTCACAACCTGTAATCCTAACACTTTGGGAGGCTGAGGAGAGCGGATTGCCTGAGCTCAGGAGTTCAAGACCAACCTGGGCAACATGGCAAAACCATGTCTCTACTGAAAATACAAAAAAAAAAAAAAAGAAAAAGAAAAATTAGCTGGGCATGGTGGCATGTGCACGTGCCTGTAGTCCCAGCTACTCTGGAGGCTAATTTAGAAGAATCACTTGAACCCAGGGAGTGGAGGTTGCAGTGAGCCAAGATCGTGCCACTGCACTCCAGCCTCGGTGACAAAACAAGACTGTCTCAAAAAAAAAAAAAAAAGCAGGTTCTACTAATATAGTTTGCCCTAGTCTAGAGCTTGAGCTTGGAGGTGAAGGAGTTGAGACTCAAGAACTGGGGGCTTGTGCTTCCTGAGCACAAGGCAAGTTCCACGTACAAGCTGGAGGCTGAGAGCAGCAGCTGACTGTGACCTTAAGTCTAGCTGAAGCCCTGACCTGGCCGCCCCCTCAGACTGCAACTCTGTAAAGGGATCAATAGTTTTTCATGGCTTTCACACCCCATGTCCACGACACCAGCAAAGACTTCACTTGGAAGTCAACCAGCCTGGTGGCCTGTCTGGGCCAAACCACCTTCAGAATACAAAACCTGCTCCTGCTCCATTTGGATCCCCACCTCCACCTGACACGCCTTGGGAAGGGGCAGTTGGCCACCCAGAGACTGCCAGGATTACAGTCAAGAGCTAGCGAGCCTCAGCCCTAGTTGGACAACTGAAACTTCCTAGGGCTCTGCTACCCCCAACCCCTTCCTAGCTGCATGATCTTCAGTATTCCGCTCCCACGTCCGCCACCCCGTGAAACAAAGATAAACATCGTTATCTACTTCAGAAGTAGAGGATCACATGCCATGGGCTGCACCTGCTGCTCCAGCACAACAGCACCCCTTTCTGAGTTTCCACAAGTGTCCAAGGTTGGACCAAGGCTGGTCTTGAGGATTAAGTACGGCCAGGAACAGTGCTCCACCTGGTGCCTTCTACAGGAAGCCTCCACAAATGCTCACTACTACTTTACTACTCACTTCAGTCTGCTGAGGATAAAGATCTGCATGTGAAGCAGCTGGCCCAGGGGCACAGCAGGATCAGAAACAGTCATGGGAGTAAGGCAATGCCACCACCCCCTGCCTTCCTGGGTCCCTAGCTGTTGGGGGACTAACACAACCCAGAGCAGTGGATGCTGACTGGGTGCACTGAAAGAGCTTCAGTCTGGGACACCTCAGACCAGGGTGCAGAGCTGCTCAGTGGAGCCTGTTCCCCTCCCTTGGAGTATGCTTCGAGACCTCATGAGGATGTTTAAGATTTCTCCCTTTGCTCGACAGCTTACCCAGTTCAACAAGCTATATGCCCAAACTTCCCACGAGCCCCCAACCATTTCTCATTCATTAGGGCCGCTCTTTCACTTGAGGGCCCCATCTCCTGACTCCCACCCATACCCTCTCCACAGAAAGCCAATGTCTTCTCTCACACCAACAGATGGAGCAACCAACCCCGCCCCAGGATCATAGACAGAGGCTAACAAATCCTCCCTCAGGTTTATTTGTACAAATAGCACAGGAGGACCCCAGCCCCATGCAGATGGCAGCCCCGGGGGGTCGCACCAGTCCTTCTGTCCTCACATTGGCAGAGAGATCTACTCTGAAGCCTTTGTAGGGGCCTGGGCACCTTTGGGAGCCTGAGCTGGAACTGAAGCTGGAGGTGCAGCCTGGGCCTTGTTTTGATCCTTGGCCTTGGCCTTGGCCTTTGGCCGGCAGAGCCTGAGCCCCTTGGCAATGCGAGCACGAGCACGCTTCCCAAGCTTGGGGTGGGCAATGTAAGCAAGTCGATCGAGCTTTCGGCTGACACCCCCCTTTGGGATCTTGGGCTTAACCTCCTTGGGCTTTACGAGGGCCGTGATGGCCTCGGCACGTGCGCTCATGGCCTTGGCGTTGTTGGCCTGCATCTTCTTTAGGCCCTTCTTGTTGTGCTTCTTGGCAAAGCGCATGTTCCTCAGGAACTTGGGGTCCACCTGAAAAGCAGGAAAGGTACAGGTGGCAGCATGTGGGTCCGCAAGTCTTTCCCTGGTGCCCCTCTCCACAGGGGTACCCAGCATCAAGTCAACCTCAAATGTGGCAATACCCAACCTCTTGAAACTATTTCCAGAGAAGGTGGACCACCATCCCAAGGAGCCAATACTCCACCTGGCTAATGCTGTGCAGACCTCAGAACAAAAAAAAGAAAGCTGCTTTGCCGCCCTGTCTGCCAACGTTTCAGGACTTCAACTTCCTACAGCAGGGTTCAACCAAGCTGTTTTTTCTGACATCCCCTCATGGACACCCCTCCCTTCTATAGAAGGTGTCAATTAAATACCAAGTCTGGTCCAACAGACTCATAGCCGAGGCAGAGTATGGGGAAACTGAGGCTCAGAGTTTGTAATTCACTCCACAGAATGGAGGGCAAAAGTAAAGGGAACAGACTGGGGACAGGCTCAGTTCCCCCTAGACCCTCCATCATTCTCAGTGAATCTTTAGAACCCCCTGACACAAGAAGAGAAGCTGACCCCAAGTCCAGCACTGGGTCAGATCAAGGTCATAAGGCTGGTCAGTGTGGGTACGGAAAGATCACAAGGTGTCCTGCACACACTGAGACAAGGCCACTCTGCACCTTACTCTAAGTGCCACTGCTGAGTGAGGGAGATGGCCAAAACAAACTGCCCTCAAGAGACAGGTTATGCCCTGACCAGAGAGTCACACTTCAGGCTGGGGAAGACCAAGGAAAGCTTTATTATGGGGCTAGTAGGGTAGAAAAAGCAATTGCAGGCTCTGAATGGGCCAGTTAAGCTCTGCTCAGGCAGAAGCTGAGCTAGAGAAAAACTACATGAAAGAAAGGCCTTGACTGTGCACCTGAAATCAAAGATTCGGTCCATACTCACCCCCTTAAGAGATTCGTATCTTTGTGATCGGGGTTTCTTGATACCATTTCTGTGCCATTTTCGGGCTGCAGGAGGGAAAGGGAATTAAGCCACAAAGAACTTCGGTCTAATGAAACCACCTAACATGACAGCTGGCAAGGCTGGGAGAACCAAGGCTTCCTACAGCAGCTTCGCTTGAGGTATGGGAAACCCTTACCACTGAATGCAAAACACTGTGTATCTCAAGTGGATCTCTAAACCTATTACCCTAAAGGTATTACTGGGTGAAATTAGCCTCAGGCCCACAATAAAAACGTGCCCCTTCATCCATGCCCGTTTCCCTGAACCAGCCCTTACCAGGGTCTGGGATGTGGGCAGGGCCCGAAAAACTTACACTGGTTGTGTGTGGTGTGGTTCTTGGACTTGGCCATGTCTGCACCTGGAAGACAAGAGTGGAGATCAGGGCGAGGGGCTCGCCAGGCTGGGCCACCTCTGCCCCCCGATCTGGTGGAACGCGGAGAAGCCAGAATGAATCTGCAGACAGACGCTTTGGATCTGCAGCCTCCACCAGTCTCGACTCGCTCTGCACGACCCGACGCCAGTTCTCGCCTCCCAAACCCAGGTAATGATGCCCTGAAATCAAGCCCCTACCCCCAGAAGGCTGCGCTCCCCAATAAAGTGGCTTTCCCTGCCAGCCTCCTCTTTAGGACCTAGAAACACCATTGCCACCCCGCAACTTTCGCTCCCCACAGACACACAGCTGGTCACCCGTCCTCTCCGCCGCCTGCGCCCCGCCGCCGCCCGTAAGCCGCGGATGGCATCGGATACCGCGCGGCCAACACTCACCTAAGACGCGCTTCCCGAAGCGCCTAAGACCGGAAGAGAAAGCCGCCGCAGTGCAGCACGGGAAATAGATCAACAGCGCCGGAAAGTACTACTGGAAATGCTTCCCCTGGCTCCGGGAAAAAGGGTTCCGAGTCCGGAAGAACGGAAGCCAGACGGGGAGGCGGTGCTACGAGCTTGGCCCCGCCCCCCGTAGGCTGTTTCCTCGCCTGTTTCTCCAGGACAGGGCTTTTTTTTTTTTTTTTTTTTTTTTGAGACGGAGTTTCTCTCTAGTTATCCAGGCTGGAGTGCAATGGCGCGATCTCGGCTCACCGCAACCTCCGCCTCCTGGGTTCAGGCAATTCTCCTGCCTCAGCCTCCAGAGTAGCTGGGATTACAGGCACGCGCCACCATGCCCAGCTAATTTTTGTATTTTTAGTAGAAACGGGGTTTCACCATGTTGACCAGAATGGTCTCGATCTCTTGACCTCGTGATCCACCCGCCTCGGCCTCCCAAAGCGCTGGGATTACAGGCGTGAGCCACCGCGCCCGGCCTCAGGACAGGGCTCTTAAGTCTATTCAGGATCCTGAAAGCGAAAGGAGTCCTTGAGGGATAGATGTTGGGCAAGGAGGTCTGTGATCTTCTTTCATTTTTTATTTTTGAGAGAGAGTCTCACTCTGTCGCCCAGGCTGGAATGCAATGGCGCGATCTCTGCTCACCGCAACCTCCGCCTCCTGGGTTCAAGGGATTCTCCTGCCTCAGCCTCCCAAGTAGCTGGGATTACAGGCGTGAGCCACCACTCCCAGCTAATTTTTTGTATT